ATTTTTAATATCTCTTATTAAGGTTCTACATAGTTCAGTGTCATGAATGTGGCTCAGCATGGAACAGGTTTTCACATGACTCATAATTACAAGTCATTGGTAAGTTATTATTTTCTGTATATGACTGATTTGGATGATATGATTTGTTATATTATGATTTATTATATTTCGCACATGACTCGATTATGAGTCATGCGATATGCACTTGGTGAGTATGCCTTGCAAGTATGCCTTGTGCATATGATTTATGTTTCACATATGACCTTATTATGACATTATAGATTTCACACTAGTGACCATTTGGGGTCATATGACTAGTTTATAAGTTTTCACACATGACCTTGCTACGAGGTTATTAGATTTGAGCATGTGACCACTTTGGTAAGATTACTAGTTTGTTATGATTTGATTTCATACGTGTAATGACTTTGGGTCACATAATTTGCAACGGAAAGAGCGTTATATAAGGAGGCCGATACCGCCATGGAGGGTAGGCTCTTCACACTTTATTCTAATAGTACTTTTCCTACTTATTACTTTAACAAATAAAAACACCTTTACACTCTTTATTATTATCGCGACCTTTCTTGCTATTACAACTAAAACACTCTTCATGAAAAAGATTTAGAGAAAGCTTATGATAGGTATTCTCGATACCAGATAAAGGTCTTGTACTATCAATAATATAGGCAAAGGCTGAGTGCTATCGTAAAGTAGAGAAGAAGAAAAAAAGAAGAGAAGTATCATTCCATATTGCTAAGAACTAACTTTCCAAAAGGGAGATCATTATAGTCAGCTTATCTTTAATAGTTATTATGTACTAGTACTAATTTGAGATACAGTAGGCTATAACTAGAAGTCTAAATTTTTCTTCTTTAAGAATATTGAAAAATAAGAGTTATAATAAAAAACTACTTGGCACAAATACTGTAGCCCATTGTGCCTTCAGCTTTTATCAATAATCCCACTAGGTACTACAATTTATCAATCAGAACCTAGTTTGTCAAAGATCAAGCATTATATCATGGAACAAAGCAGGACCCTGTAGCAGTAAAGTAGATTTTGTATATACTACTTCACAAGCAAGAATCGTGTTCACCCAATCTTAACCTAATCAAGAACATACAGTTAATTGTATAGTAGCATATCAAAGTATAGAGCTACTTCCCTAGAATCTATATTAGTACTGAGATGCAGGCAGTAGTGTAGGAGGAGTAAAATAGACTGAAGTCTTAATATTAGAACCAGTTAATTGATAGTATGTCAGAGAAGCTGAAGAAATGCTGAGAGCTGAGAGGTATTCAGATGTAGTGGTAAACATCTTTAGTATGTATAGTATCACATTATATAAAGCTAAATCAGAGTATTATGTTTTGGCATTACGGTGCGGTAGTCAGCAAATTTTAGCTTGTATGATACCAGTGACGATCCTTTCCACAACCCAATCTAGCCCAATATAGTGATTGCCTCTCGCACTAGAAATTCTACCAAAGTCCCACGCAGGCAATACCAGTTCGTTGACGGCTAAGTCCTACGGTGGGTCCTTCAGCTTCTTTAAGGGTAAAAGGAATTTGATCAGAGAGAAGAGCTTCCAAGCTTTGAAATTGGCTGCTCTTCAACTGCTAACTAATAATAGCCGTAAGATGGAATTCGGTCTTGGAGACCCCTCATACCATGACCCTGACTCCCTCAGCCTCAGCCAGGTGAGAAAGGCCAGAGCCAATAAACCCCCAATTCCTACACCACTCTTAGTCCCTTGTTGCGCCGGTACAGTATGAAAGGTCTCTTAGTAGGATACTCGAGCAGTGTTGACGGAGTGTCCCAAAAGAGAATATATTACGGGTGTGTCCGTCATTTAGTACTGGACTAATCTGCTTCCCTAGACCTTGCCTTAGAGCTATTGTATATTAGGGATCGCTCCATGTGCCATGTGCTGTGTACAAGTACGAGTACTAAGCGAGAGAGTAATGTCCGGTCAGTCACTGAGGGCATATCTCGCGCACTATGATCTGAGATAGCAATTTAGAACCGACCAATCACAGCACGCAAATAGAGATTATGTAAGCCGATTCTGGGTTATCCTATTGGCCAGTTACAAACACTATGATATTATCTCAAATCATGATTTCAAATTATAGACAGCTCAAATCATGGCGCACTAAACACGCAGAGAGACTCTCTCCTAATGCAAAAGTTCCCCCCACACACAACGCCTTTTCATCTTCCGCAATCACTAAAGTTGGTAAGGGCCCAGCCCCCTCCCCCTGGAAAGTGGTCCGCCGTCTCGGCTATGGTAGTCTACCCCGGCCCGAACGGAGTTTCCAACTCCCGGAGTTCCCTATTTCAAGTTAGTACCGACCAGTTTCTCAGGCATTTGACCATCAGGGATGGTCATGATATATCCTCTTCCCAACCCCTAATCCTGCGATAGAACCTGATACAAGATATCATCTTGCAACAAACCACCTACCACAGCGCTGCAAATTTAGTGTTCCTACAGCGCAGTCCCTATGATATCATATGCGGGGCCTAACGTATGGCCCTTCGACCCTAAATACACGACGTTTATTTGTCTCGATAGCAACCCTTATACAATAGGGCCCCCTGTCATGCAAATATGGTATCATACGCGCAGTGATCTTGATGCGAATAGGAAAAAAATGAATATATATAACCCGCAACTCTGAGTGCAAACGTGATATGGTAAAGACTACTACAGGGGTCAAAATTCAATCAGGTAAATTAATGTAACTTCCCCAAGGCCTCTAGTGGCCAATTCTGCAGTGGAGCTGCAGCACATCGACCAAAGTTAGGTCTATCACCTCCTGCACTTCTTCACCCAACCTAGCGGGTAACCTCACCCAAAAGCAGATCAGTCCTAGAGCCGACCCTACGAAAGCAAATCTACATATCACACGATCAGGGAGTGGAACCGGAACTGCCTCGATTGAGGGCTCTATCGTGGGTTGCGGAATCATGGCCTTTCCACTATGCGGTGTTGGGTATGCCTATATGATAACAGGAGCGCGCGCTTAGTGGACTATATATGCACTTCTACATAGGACCCAGTGGTTGCCCCCGTGTGGGTTGATACCCCCTGTTTGCTACAAGTACCCTTAAACACTCCGCTTTCTTCTCCTTTACCCGATCCCGCCCCCCCCACTTTCTTTAGCCCAATTAACCAATCAGCACTGACTTCCTTTCGACCTCACGACGTAAATGCAATACTATTCTTGATGGTCATGTTTACTGCCCGCGGCTCGAGCGGTAGGGCACGTCTTTCATCGATCGTTTCCTCCATCCAGCCTGTACCATCTGGTGCACAATCATAAGGAGAGCATCGAAAAGTGTGTACACTCTAGCCCCACCCCCACCAGATTTTCTAGACTGACCAGTGAAAAAAGTGGTGACCAAAGCAATGGCCAATTCGAGTGCTATGAAAAAAGCGCTAAGCACAAAGAAATGTCCCTGCACCAAATCTCCATGTCAGCACTGCCCCATGGCCCGGAGGCACCTCCTGGAGCCCACCAAGATACTTGGACATGCCACGCATCCTTCCTCCCAGCACGGTTCTCGGGTCCATTCGGCCAGGATCCCTAGCGCGCTATTGGATATATGATAAACCGCACTAAGAGGGAGAGGGACTCCCCTTATCACAGCTCAAGATGCCTTTGTTCGCGAGAGGTTCGCTATCTCTACGCTCATACTATCCCACACCCTATTGGCATCCCGCTGTGAAAGCCTGTGGGCACCGCTGGGCCTCTCATTAATTCGTAATGCACCCGGGAACAGAGATCCTCGATTTTGGGCGTAAAACACCAGCTCTTGGAATTTGTATGCCCGGCTACTTCCCGTGACAAGCAGTGCGGGTAATCAATACAAATAAGGTGGTGAGATAGAATGAGAAATCGTATGAAGGACCCCGTCCAGCGGCTAAGATTTCTCCCTTCCAACCGCAAGAGGTGGGGAAGTAGGCGGCGGTGGACGGAGGGAGGCATAGAGAGTTGGTATGGAAGAAGGGATCAGGGAAAGGACAATAAGCAATGAGTTTTCCCGCAAATATATTGTGGGCTACGATTCTGCGATTCTACATAAGTCGAAAGCACTCAACACCCGAAGATTTCCCCGGAGAAGATCAATAACCTCTCTGCAGACCTCATAAGCTCCCCGTGCATGGTCATAACATCTCACTCGAGAGTTTTTTGGCATATCACCCCCTGGTCGCCTTACCTGAGCACACTGCTTATCAAACAACCAGCTACGACCAAATCGGCAGGGCCCAAAAGGCCAAACCCAAGGGAAACCCCGTTCAGCTCACATGGAAGAAGAAAAAAGCAAATAAAGATCAACCACCTTACAAATAACCAACCACTCACCGATCCCCACTGTGTAGTTGCCACTCCGCTGTGGTACTTGTGCTACCGCAGCTCCAAAAAGCTTGTTATTCCCTACCCATTCCGCCTCCGCCTCCGCAGACTGGAATTGCTGGCACAGCACAAGTACCGGTACACCATGCCTTTTTCTTTCTTTTTCTCACACTTCTCCCACAGACGATGACCGGCGTGGTATTTGCTTCTGTCAGCCAGTCAGTCAATAAGTTCTGCCACCTCTTGATCGGGGAGAGGTCTACGAGCACTCGGTTATACCCCCCCTCCCCCCTAGGCTCCTCGCCATCCTATCAAATGATTCAAATCGACCGGCCCTAGTAGTACTGGAGTACAAAGCCCGGCACTTCCCATCCACAAGATCAAATGAAAAGGAAAGGAAAGGAAAAAAGCAATCCACCACTAATTCCGCTAGGAATGTGTTATTTGCTTTCTTCTTTGGTAAACCAACTCGCAGCCATCATCGAAATGATGGGTATCACACACACCCTCAGCCAACGCCGCCACTGTACGAGTATACTGGTGTATCTCATGCCACCTCCGCTTCTTCTCCCAAAAGCCCTCCCGTTCCCCCCTCTCCTCTTCTTCCTGTTCCCTCCACCTCACCCTGAAATACTGAGATAAGCTTTTTTCTCCCCTGCTTTTCTTGGGACTTTTATTTTTTTTCGCTCCTCCCTTTTGCGACCTTTGGTTCAGACCAAATGAGAAGAGCTTGAAGAAGAAGAAAACCAGGAAGGAAAAAGGACTGAACCATTTCTCGGCGCGCGCGATATTTAAGAATGTATCGGGTACGGGCATGGCTGTTATCGGTTTTGGGAATACTATCGGTATTGATGTGCGGGGGGGGAGGAAGGGGAGGAGGGTTGGTGAACGGCCATTTCACTGTTATCTATCCGCAGCAAAGGGGATATTCCTATAATACGCAATTTCACTTTCCATGTAAATTCCCCCTTTCTTCTTGCTCTATTTATGTTTGACCACTAACTAATTCATTCTATAGGCGGAGGTAACGAATATACCCCCACCCCACCCCGTAAAAATATGTAAAAACCTAATCTCACAATAAATAAAAATTAAAAACAGGCATCCCTCCAACAACAAACCGCTCCCAATGGCCCACCAGCGGCGGCGCCCTCTCCCTCATCCCCATCCATGCATTCGCCTTAACCACGGTCAACATCGCGCTCGGCTCCGACATCGACGAAAATATACTCTCGAACCCATACAACGTCTCCATGGTCCCACTATTCAATCAGACGGGCGCCAATAGCACTTTCTGCCTTCGAAAGATCAAGATCCCGAAGAAGATCGTGGGTGATGTGGCTGACGGCGTCAACGCTACCATTCAGGTTATACAGTTGACCGGGACGGGGGCCGCCTTGTATTCTGTATGTTGATTCCCTCCACCTTGCTCGCCCGTCGTATTGGTGGATGGGCTGATAGGACTAACCATGAGGCGGGGGATGGATAAAGTGCATCGACATCACCTTCTCGGACAAAGAAGCGGACCGCTTCGGTGCTCAGGAGGTCTGGGACAAATACTGCATTAACGGGACAGGGATGGGAGGGTATAGACTCGGTGATAAGGATCCTTCCAGGCCAAATGCCACCGTTGTCCTAAGCGCTGCTTCCTCCCCCGGGAGGTTCGCCGCTTCATCATCACCATCCCTAGCGCTACCATTCCTGGCTCTCGTGTGGTTCTACATTCTTGGGTTTTCAAACATAATTTGAGGGAAACGTCCTTTGTTTGGGTCACGAGTTGTATATTTTAATTTCACTCTATCCTCTCTAAGAATTAGTGGATGCAATCTCAAGCCTTTCGATCCCACCGTACAGTGCACTGCAGCCATACCCCGCTACCGTATATATCCTATAATAGATCCCGATGACCCGGAAACCTCCCCATCCCGTATTACCCTCTTTGAGCTGCAAATTTCTTTAAGCCGAAAACCTGAACAGTTGTCCGGATCACGCACTATACCGAACGCATCCCTCGAATTTTAGCCATCGGGATAGCGGGGGTTGCGGCTGCGCTCGCAGTTGTATATCATACCTGTATCGTGTGCTCTGAAACTCTCCGGGCTCGATCGTGGTTGACCCACTCACGAGCATGGTATCATACCTCGATGTCTTTATTACAGTAACATACCGTACTATTACTATTATTACTATAGCTGTGTTTCCTAATTCAGCGTTGCCTAATACTTTCACTCGATGGATTCGCTGGTTTGTGCAGATCCGCCAAGTTTTGACTACCTCCCCATTCGCGGTGGAAAGTAGCGCGTGGTGGTAGTGGTGGGGAGGGAAACTTACGGGTCGAACTTGTAAAGGTTTATTGGACTGGGGATTTTCTGTCCGGTGCTGCTCATCTGATGAGGATACGGTAGCAACGCTCTGCCCGGTGCTGTTGTGGAACGGTACAAGTAGTCTACGTGCGAGCAGTATTTTATCTGCCCTTTGTAATGGTCGATAACTACAAGTAGAATTTTTTACCTGTATTTTTTTAATTTTTCCACCCCCAAGTCACCGTAGCCAATTACTTGGTATCATAGTGGGATGGGCACCAGAGATGGCAACAACCCGGAAACCCCCCCACTTATCTAACTAATGTTCTTTGGTTCAACAAATCGTCACAAGAGAAGAAAGAGAAAAAGAAGAAAAACCCTTTGTATTCAAATAAAAACTTTTAAACTCAAGATTAAGAAGAAAAAAACTAATCCCCATCCCCGCCAGCAGTTTTGCTATCCTCAAGCTCCTCAAAAGTGTTCGGTGGGACCTCGTACAACCTAAGCACGGGTCTATTGGGGTCTTTGACAAGTACGTACTTGCCCTCGGGCATGTGCATGCACATGTCAACGATGGTGCGAACAATACCCCATCCATTAGAGAGGTTCAGATTCATCTGGTTAGCGAATTCGCGGGGCTTGTACCCGACGACACCGAGGATTACGTGACGATTGTTATCCTTGGGGTTTGCACGGGAGACAAATCTGCGGGAGAGTTGGTTAGGAAGGAGTCACTGATAATGGGAGGGTAGATGTTACCCTAACTTCATCACGTCTGCTTTCGCAAGGATGGCCTGGGCAGTCCAGCGGGCGAGCTTGCTGGAGTTGTTCTTCATTTCCGTCGCCACGACTGCGCCACGCTGGGAAGAGAGCTTTGCACGCCAATCGAGTGCTCCTCCGCTTCCCTGCGCACGTCCATCAAATTCGTTCAGTGCCTTGACGGTGAGGAACATGTTTTCTCCGCTAGGAGTCTTCATGACGGCATCCAGCTCTGTCCTCACAATAAGGTGTACCGGCTCCTCCTCGTTTAGGGACAAATCGAAACGCCGGTATTTGTAGGCTTTAGAACCAAGTGGCTCGGTGTCCTCCTCGTTGTAGAAAGGGTTGGGGTTCTCAAAGTCGTACTTTGACTCCTCGTTCACTGTTTGGATAGCAAAATTTTGGTTAATGAAAGTAGCTTCCATAGAAAGTGCGTGTGGTGCGTTGATGGAATCCTTATTTCCTTCACTAGCCTCCAGCGGTGGATCCGCAGCATTCTCATTGACCGAGACAAAGTCTAGTTGGCTGCCCTCCCGCTTATCGAAGAAAAGCTTCTTGCCTTCACGAACAATTACAATGTCCCAGGGGTAAACGGACCGAGGAGCACACATCAGCATCGATAATACAGAGTCTGTGGCGAATATTGTAGCCTCATCCTTCTCCGCAAGTTGCTGAATCACGGGGTCCTCAGTCGTGGTCGGGTTGAATACTACTCGGTCTTGAACAACGAGTTTGCGCTCGGCAGGCTTAGTACCGGCAGCTTTGTCGTAGCTACGGTCGTAACAATATAGGAATCCATAGTTGTCCACATCTTCACCCTCATCAGTCTCAAGATTGAGCTTAGCCAGGCGGTTGAAATCGATTTCCTCGAGCATCCTCCATTCAGGCTTGACAACCACCGAGGCATCACGGTTGCGCTGTGGCTTGTCGTAGTCTTTCCAGCCGAAACGGCGGCCACGACCTCCCCTTCCACCACGATTGTCGAAACGACCTTGGTCTCTACCACTGCGATCGCCAGCTCTCTGGAAGGTACCCCCAGACCCACCCGCTGCACCTCCACGTCCTCCACGTGAACCTGCGCCGCCGCGACCGCGGCCACGGAAAGTTGTCATGCGGCCGCCGAAACCTGTGCGAGTCTTTGTGCTGGTGCGTTGATTATCAACTACGGAGAAGGAAGCTTCGTCTTCAGCATGTTGATAGGAGAACAGACTTGATGTTCCGGCTCCGTATACTTGCTGATCTATGCCACATTGTTAGTGTACCGCATACCTCAAACATTTGAGGAAATATTTACCTCTGTAATTTCTGTTGTAGCCTTGTCTTCCACCCCTCTGATCCCGCCCATCCTTTCCACCCTCTGTTGTCCAATCCGCCATGCGACCAAGTTTATCCCCCTTTGAGTAAGGGGCATAGGGAACTTCATTCAGCGTTGATTCGATAGAGGCCGGAGGTCCCCAGCCATTCTCATGCTCAGGGAGAGCAGCTATTAAGGCGTTCAGCTCGAGCGGAGCCATATTTCCTGCCTCGATGGATCCAGGAAAAAATTCACAGACTAGTTATAAATCGATAAATAGGTACTCGTTGACGGCAGGTTGTTGAGACTGATTGTGGAGGGATGTTTGTGTGGGGGAACTTTTCCTCAATTTTTCTGTGGGCGTTTTCATTGGCGGGGCATGGGGCGAAAGCAAAGTCACAAACATTTTTCAAAAATGAATGCATCCCTTAGAGCAGTCCTCCAATAGCACTTCTATAGAATGAATTGAAATTTCTTGCGAGATTGAGCAGTTCTAAATACCTTCAATACATTTACAATGTTCACTCACCGTTGATATCAAAACCTCTTCAGCCTCGAACCCTCCCTCCCTCCCCCATCCAGTCAACATCACAAGATGGTCGTCAAGATCCGTTTAGCACGCTTCGGTCGTCGACACGCACCAATTTATAACATCGTCGTCGCACATGCTCGGTATTATTTACGCTCTCAGCCTACCCTCCGATGCACATTCAGCTAATATTTATAGGTCCGCACAAACGAATAGGCCCATAGAAGTAATCGGCACCTACAACCCCATTCCAGTCCCACCAGCCGATGGCATAGGAAAAGGCACAAAACATATTGAGCTAGATACCGCGCGAGCGAAATACTGGCTAGGTACTGGAGCGCAGCCTTCGGATCCTGTGTGGCGATTATTATCCATGGTAAGTCGTATCGGGAGACCAGGCCCGTGGGTTGAAGATCGAGGGTGAGACCTGATGAAGTGGTAGATTGGATTACTGGAACCTAAATGGCCGGTCGCAAGGCTACAAAGCAAAGCGGGGAATAGTGCAATTAAACCGGAGGAGCCCAGGAATGTGGAGGATGTTACGAAGTCCATTCAAGAAAATATCGGAATCAGAGAGCCTGGGGCAACCACAAGGGAAACTTGATGTCTTTGCGATATATTTGGGACGGATTGTACAACATTTTCGGGCTGTTATGGGCAGCTATCTGGAAGTGAATAGATCGGATATTTCTGCGAGTCTGTCGAGAGCGGTCTGCACTGGATGAGATTGTTATTCTTAGAGAAACACCGTATCTCGAGAATAAGAAGGCTCAAAGAGTAGTCTACTGTGTCTATACTCTAGTAAATGGATAAGTCGGCGGAGTTTACTTGTCACACTCGAGAACTCCAGTGCGCCATCCACGAACTACGGTAGCGAATCGCATGAGCCTTGCTTAGTTGCGATGTTTCATCTACTCCTCGCAGAAGGTCGGGTCAATTTTGTCAGGCGGATGCTCTTGATAGGCCCGTATCCTCACCTTGAAGATAGTTCACTCCCCCGGTGAACCGGCCGCTGCTTTTCCATTGGAGAATTTCTCGAGTGATTCATAGTGATGAAATGCGGCTCAAAACGCCAAGCTTTCACCACGTCCAAGATGGCTAGCCCCACTGCTCGAGTGCCGGTACTTAGGTATGCTACAGTGTCATCATTCGTTGAGTTTAACTTTCCACCGGAAAAACACACGCCTCCCCTATTTCGCCGAAACCATCAACCAAGTCAAGAATACACATTTCAACTATCCTCGTATCTCTCGCCTTCGAATTCTTCTCGAGAACTTAGTGGTCAATAATAATGGCGAGCTCGGCCCCCATCGGCGAATCCTCACAGGCAGGCTCATCCTCTTCCGCTCCCCAGTCTTCCCCCGGAGCTTCAAGAGATGGTCCTCCACCAGCAATTATTTGCATTGGCATGGCCGGTATTACCCCCCCTCCGCTTCTGATCGCAGTGTGTGAATCATAGGACTAACGAACCGTCCAGGCTCCGGAAAAACTACCTTCATGCAGCGCCTAAACGCCCATCTCCACGCCCAGAAACAGCCACCATACATAATCAACCTTGACCCCGCCGTAAAAACTGTCCCCTTTGCCCGGAACATCGACATCCGCGACAGCGTAAACTACGAAGAAGTGATGAAGCAATACAACCTCGGCCCCAACGGCGGAATCATGACATGTCTGAACCTCTTCGCGACCAAGGTCGACCAGGTAATTGGAATTCTCGAGAAGCGCGCACCCTCGATAAATTCCATCCTCGTGGACACACCAGGTCAGATTGAGTGCTTTGTCTGGAGCGCTAGCGGAGCGATCATAACCGATGCAATTGCTTCGGGGTTTCCTACTGTCATTGCCTACATTATTGATACGCCCCGGACTAAAGCTCCCGCAACGTTCATGAGTAATATGCTCTACGCTTGCAGTATCCTCTACAAGACGAAATTACCGATGATCCTGGTGTTCAACAAGACTGATGCGCAGGATGCAGATTTTGCGAAGGAGTGGATGACGGATTTTGAGGCTTTTCAAAGAGCGCTGCAGGAAGAGGAGGGGAATGATGATGGTGTTGGCGGGAGCGGGTATATGGCTAGCTTGTTGAACTCTATGAGTCTTATGCTTGACGAGTTTTATAAGCATTTGGATTTGGTGGCGGTTAGTGCTATGACGGGCGCTGGGGTCGACGAATTCATGAAGGCTGTTGAGGGAAAGTGTTTGGAGTATGAGAAGGATTACAAGCCGGAGATGGAGAGGGCTAGGAAGCGCCGGGAGGAGCAGAAGCTTGAGGAGAAGGAGAAAGAGTTGGGAAGGCTGATGAAGGATATCGATGTTGGCGACAGTGGGAAGAAAAGGGAGGAGCCAGCGGTCATGAGCGATATCGAGTCGAGTGATGAGGATGCGGGACAGGGCATACTGGAGAGGGACGAAGACGAAGAAATGGAGGATGAGGAGGGATTGCAGAAAAAGCACGAGCGTGTGGGGAAAGAAATCGAACCTGGGGCTGACCCACTCTTAGATTCGAGTTTGAAACGCTACAATGATGTATCGAGTATGTTCTGCCATGTT